ACCGAGGTGGCGGCCGATACGTCTATTCGACCAACCTGCTTCTCTGAGGCCTATTATACGGCCCCTATCAAAGTCCGTCAGCTGCTCGTACTGCCGCCGGTTACGTCTTAGAGGCATCCTAAGTCTCAATATCGTCTATCAAAGTCATCAGATTCGTTTGGATAGCCGTACGGCGCTCGTACTCATGCTTTTAAACTCTCCCAGTTGCGCAATTAATATGCGCATAGCACACTTAGCCTTGTCTCATTGGCTTCGAAATTTTAATCATTTGCATATCTCTTACCAGACTACATTCTTGCCGAGTTTCGTGATTGTAGCTTGATTTCTTCTGGGTGCATATATTTTTTTGCGACAGAGTGTATATATATACAATATATATATACAATATATATATATATATACAATATATATATGCAATATATATATATACAATATATATATATACAATATATATATATATATACAATATATATACAATATATATATATATACAATATATATATACAATATATATATATATACAATATATATATGTAAGGATAATCAAATTAGATTAAAAATGAAATTCCCTATCTAGCACTTAACTAATATTTTTCATTTGATCTTCAAGTATCAATCTAATCACCCATTTATTTCTTTCGAACATATGGCCTAGTCAGTAAACATGTCTAATTCCAGATCGCTAGATCTAATAGCCCTATATGTCAGCATAAACTTTCAAGAACACTCATAAAATCAGAGGTACTTCTCACATCTGGCTTAAGTAGTAAAATACTTAGATTTCACTTTAGCGTTCTTTTTCTCTCTCCCTCTCAGCGTCAGAGCTTGTGTAGATTTCATCAAATAAAAATCCTTTTTAAAACTAAGTCTGATTCTGACTTAAAACATGTCAGAATTAAAGCCGACAGGATTCGAACCTGCGCGGGGAAACCCCAATGGATTTCAAAACATTTAACTTAAATCAGTTCTTAAAGTTAAAGAATTTTAAAAAACGAGTGCAAAGTATGCCAGCTATCGAGATAAGTGCTGTAAATAACGATTACGGGACTCCGTCGAACGATATTTCTCTGTGTTGAAGAGGTCGGTTAGCCACGAAAGAAAGAAACATGCTATTAATCCCCGGAAGAACATCGCTCTTACCGCCAAAGAACTAGAATCATCGTCTTCTGCTAACAAAATTTCAGAAATTTATATTTCAAAAATGGAAGCAAAGAACGAAAATAAAATTAAGCAAGAAGAGAATATAGATACAGATGAAGAAAAATTAAAACAACCTATAATCATTATAAAAAAATGTTATTCGATTTGAAGATTCACAGACATTTTTCCAAAAATATAACCTGGAAATGCCCATCCAAACATTCCTTAGAAATTTTGAAAGTACGTGCGATTCTTTCGATATAGCAGAAAAACAGAAAATCCTATTTATAACCAAGTTAGTAGATGGAGCTGTGAAGACTTACATCAAATCACAATCGATCCCTAAAAGTTTTTACGAACTGAAAAATAATTTAATACGTGAATTCGGAACACAAGTCAATCCAGCGGAGATTCATCTTCAATTATCTAAAACAGAAAAAACCTCAAAAGAGACCCACATAGAATATTTCTACAGAATAAAAGAAATCGCATCCCGGATAAACATGGAAGAAGCTGAAAAATATTTCATCATAAAAGGATTAAAGGAAAATAAATCCAATGAAATACAGTTACAAAGCTGCAGCAACATAGAGGAACTGAAGGAAAAAATGAAACTTTTAGATATCCAAGAAATATCAAAATGAAATAGGAATGAAGTTATATACTCAAATTATCCAGTGACACGAAGACCTCACCATACGAGTCAATTTGCCCATAGACAACAGTATAGAAGATGGAATCGGAGAAATGATCCATCTCAACACTCGGATACCATAACCGGCTCAAAATACAATGTATAGTCTCCTCAGCTTCCATCACCTTCTTATCATCACCCGTCCTTTTCTCTTCAGTGACTGACCATGTATCCGAGAAACCAACGATTGCCGCAACGACCAGCAGTTTTGCGACCGGATGCTCCAACTTTCTACCCCCCTCCCCCGTCAAAGATCCCAAGAAAATAATACAGTATTCCAACCTCATCGAACATGAGGACTTATGATCATCCAGGGAAGAATCAACTTCAAACAAGTTGAAGTCCTCTAAGATACAGGATCAAGTGTCAACATTATTCCAAAAAATATAATATCACAAATAATCAAGGGACAACACAATGTGGAGTATATCAAAACAAAAATTGCCACCATTAATGGACAAATTAAGGTGAGTGAGGCAATTACTTTACAATTGAAAATAGGAGAAATTATGAAAGATATTAAATTCCTCGTAGTAAAGGTAGAACTGAAATATTTAATAATTTTTAATAAAACTATGAGTATTTTTGAATGAAATATTAATTTTAGTGACTATAAAGTTTTTCAAAGAGGAGAAAAAATTAAAAAAATTTATGAATATAAGAAAAGTATTAAAGAAAAAATGAAACTCTTAAACTAAGTAATAATAAAATTATCACTAAGAAAACTGATATATAATGTGTGTTTAATATAGAAATAATTCCTAACAGTGATTATGATATTATTAATGTGATTATTGATAAATATAAACATGTCTTTGCTAAAAATAAGTTTTACGTGGGTGAATTAAAATGAAATTTTCCGAAAATAATACTTACCTTAGAATTACCCATTGCAAATCAACCATATAGGACATCTTTTAAAGATGATACGGAAATAAAAAAGCAATTAGATGCATTACTGAAAAAAGGAATAATTAAACCATCTCATAGTTCTTACGCTGCCCCTATAATATTGGCATTTAAAAAAGAGGATAATGCTCGTACACGATTATGTGTCGATTGCAGAAAGCTGGATGCTATCACAACATTGGATGCGGAACCAATTCCCCGAATAGATGCAGTTTTAGGCAAATTAACACATGCAAAATTTTTCTCAAAGATCGACCTTTGTAGTGGCTATTGGCATATATTAAATTAGATGATAATGAATCTGAAAAACTTGCATTTACATCAAATTATGGTCTTTTTCAATTTAATCATTTGCCTTTTGGATATAAAAATTCCCCAGCTATATTTCAAAGAGCTATTAGACAGATTTTAGATAAATACCAAATAAAATTTGCATGAAATTACTTTGACGATATAATAGTATTTTCGGAATCAGTTGAAGAACATGCAAAACATTTAGAAGAAATTCTTAAAACTTGTGAAATAGAAAATACTAAATTAAAATTCTCAAAATGTAAATTTGGCAAAGATACAATTGATTTTTTAGGATATGTAATAAAACAAGGGTCATACACTCCAAACAATACAAATGTCGAAATAATTAAAAAACTTTTACCCTCTAGAAATGTGAAAGATTTACAAAGATTTCTTAGTAGTATTAATGTCTATTATAAGTTCATTCCTCAATATGCAAAATTAAGAATGCCCTTAAATAATCTTCTTAAAAAGAATCAAAATTGGAATTGGACCCCAGAATGTCAACAGTGTTTTCAAAAACTTAGAGATAGCTTAATTTCAAAGTCCATTTTAGCTATATTCAATCCAAATTATGCCTGTCATCTTCATGTAGATGCATTGAAAACTGCGATCTCATGTATCCTCAAACAACAAAAACCCAATGGAAATCAACATCCGATTGCATTCCACTCGAGACGACTGAGAAATTATGAAATTAATTGATTGACTTGAAACATGTGTCATATATATACATATATATATATATATATATATATATATATATATATATATATATATATATATATATATATATATATATATATGGAGATATTGTACTGTAATTTCTTTTTCTTCTTAGGCTTTGTAGGTTTTACAACTTTTTCGCTTGATTTCTTATTTTATTTTATTATACTATATATATATATATATCTTGTTAAAATTTTCAATCGTTAATAGAATATTTTGTATTCATCCGTTCAAGTTCAAGTACATTTTTTTTAAAATTATAGTGGATGATACTTAATGTTGATACAGTTTTTTCAAATATTAATTCATTAGCTTTTACTTAATTAATGAATAAATAGTAACAAGCAAAAAAAAATAGTCCAATACCATATATAAAAAAGAAAATCACTCTTTTGTCCCTATAGAGCAGCGATATTCAACCTGCGGCTCGCCGAGCCTTTTAAATGACCCGGTCATGGCCCATTGCTCTGAGAAATTCACTTATTTAAGAACATTGTATAAAAAATTTGGTGGGAAATTCTTTGTTAAGAAATCAAATATATCAATTTTGATTCTTGTTGTCGGTATCGTACGGGAACAAATTGATATTCTTTTTCTATTTGGAACTGTTACGGTTAGTGATAACAGACAACGTGGAATGAACAGTGGGTGGAATTAAATTTTAACTATCTTTCATATCTTGCAAGCGAAAAATATTCGAAGAAAATATATCATTTCAAGACGATTGGGACTATTTTGCAGGGAAAAACAAACATGGATCAGTAATTGTTTGATTTATCACGAAGGTGCAGTATTAAAAAATACCAATAAATAGGAATCATTCAATGACACTTTTCCTCGAAGATCTCTTTCAAGAGGTGATAAATAGGCTTCTTGCAACACTAACAAAGTGTTTCGTCATTGGTAATATCTCAGCGGTAACAAAGACATCCCATGAAGTTTGTTATATTATTGGTAATCATATGAAACCATTTACTGGTGCAGAAATTGTGAAGGAGTGTTTCTTAAATGCTACTAATTTAGTGTTAGTAACAAAAATAAACATAAGAAATGATAACTAAGAAAAGCAAAACAGGAATTTAATATTATGATCAGTTTTCCACAGTTTAAATTTCCGATGTTATCTTGATCTTAAAGCTTTTCTCTCCCCCCCTCCCATTTTCCTCTCATGTTGCGGCCCGCGTGAAATAAATAATATGTATGCGGCCCAGTAAAAAAAAGGTTAAGTGCCCCTGTTGTAGAGCAATGGGTAGCGCGTTGGACTTCTAATCCAAGGGTTGTGGGGTCGAATCCTACTTGGAATGGCCAAATTTCTGAGAATGTGATTTATGAATATAAATACATACAAACAGAAGTAATAGTTCAACACCATATAAAACAAGGAAAATTGCTTTCTATTTTGCCACTTAATATTGTGATTCTGTCATATGTTTATACTTATTTATATTAATTGTAATTATTGAATAAAAAGTAAGTAAAATAAAATTTTTCTGCGTTGAATTATTTATATATATATATATATATATATCCGTAGGAATTAAATTATTTTTTTATCTTACTTGTTAAAGTATTTGGTTAGTAAAACTGGTTCAAAGGTTATAAATGTTCTAGAAGACTGCATGGTAAGGACAGAATTACAATTGTTTCTTTTTAAAAACTTCGTTAGTAATGAGGAACTAAAAGTTTTGAGATAGAAAAAAATAAATGATTGGATTTTTTCAAAAATATGAAAGCGCTTGAAACTTGCTACAATTTTAATGAAAAATTATGGATACTTGGAGAAATTCTCGACTTTTGAGTACGATGCTAAAAAAAAATGCAATGTTTTATATTTGGAAAAGTAGAGTGGATTTTACGAAATTACTGACTGTCTTCTCAAAACCCATGACTATTGTATATATTTAAATGTAATAAAACACATCCAAAAGGGTAAAAAAAAATGAGATTTTATTTGATAGAATTTTTTCCCCAGAGTTCTTTAAACATTCTTAAATACTTTTAACCTTCCGAAAATCCACCATATTTATTTCATATAAATAGAGTTTAGTTTTTAAAAATTTGTTGAAATCATTAACTTTGAGTTAATTTGCGTTAATTTGAGTTAATTTTATCAAACTCCTAGAAGTTTATCTATTATTTAATAATATATATGAAATTCTTTTAAAAAATTTAATTATTGTTTTGTGTAGCTGTTATATTTTGATCATAAGATTCAGTTCAAGAAGCATTTGAATTAAAATCTGGAGGATTCATGCTAATTTTATTTTAAGATTTTACTTCCAGAAGATGTTTACCTTGATATTAGATCGAAAAGGGAACATCTACAGAAATATTTCACAAGAAATAGCAGACGTAGTAAGATGTCATGTTGGGAAATGCTAAGGAAATGCGATTTCGACCAGGAAACGTAAGTGAAAATAAGAGATTCTTATAAAAACCTTTTAGCAAGGTCGGAAAGAAAATATTTAAAGCTTGGAGAGCTACTTATATAGGAAACGACCTTCATCATTTTACTACTATTTTTTAGATACAAGCTTAAATTTAGCAGAAATGATAGGATAACAATTAAACCCAACAAAAAATTATTTTCATGTTCGAGGATTTTGATTAATTTTGAAAATAATTTCAAATTAAAAAAAATAGTTTAGGAAATATCTAACACACCCACCTTGAAATAAAAAAAAATGGGCGAGCTTATTTAAATCGAAATTATGAAGAAATATTTATAATTGCCATGTAATTTTCTCCTGTTTTGAAGATATCACGATTATCTTTCATATTTCGAATATAGGTTATCTTATTTGCTGCAAAAACACGTTTTTCCTGTTGATCGTAAAAACATTTATTTTAAATGGAACCGTAATTTTTTTAGATGCACACGCTTTGAAGTAAATAAATTATTAGTTTCTAGAACTATTTGAATGTCGATTATGTTATCTACTGCAAGAATGGCTTTTCACCCGTTGATAGTAAAAGCCTTTATTTTAAATGAAACAGTAATTTTTTCGTTTGCATACACTTCGAAATAAATACATTATTACTTTTTACGATAATTCGCGTGGAATTTGAAAGCAGATTATCTTACCTACTGCAAGAATGGTGTTCCCCCCGTTAATAGTAAAAGCCTTTATTTTAAATGAAACAGTGATTTCTTTAGTTGTATACGTTTTTAAATAAATAAATTAGTAGTTTTTAGAATTATTAATTTTATTATTTTATAAGTCATGCACAATATTAGGAAATTTTCTATTAGTTATATTTAAAAGTCTTTAGAACCGTTTATGTGAATGACTGTTCAATAATTGTTTTGTTAAAAAAAACTAGAGTAATAGTACTCTTTTTAAATACCATAATATAAATGGAAATACTGGTTATAAACATTACACATTGCTCCCTTTGTTTTAATTTTAAGAGTAAACTATTTGCAAGTTAAACTCCAACAAACTCGATTACAGTGACATAATGACACGACTAAATTTTGCCTTATTAAATTTTCACGTTTTTTTGTAATTCTTACTATTAGTTCACACTCTACCTGTATATATGCATATACATATTATTCCCATATCTCCACTCCCTAAATATAATTTGAACAAAATATGTATAAATAGATATATATATATATATATACATATATATATCTTGTTCAAATTTTTAATCATTTATAAAATACTTTCTATTCATTCATTCAAGTTCAAATACATTTATTTAAACTTGTAGTGGATGACACTGGATGTTAATACAGTTTTTTTCAAGTATTAATTCATTAATAAAATTAAGTTAAAAATAAATATTAACAAAATTAGTAGTCCAACAACATATATAGAAAGGAAAATTGTTCGTTGTGTCCCTGTAGCGCACTGGATAGCGCTTTGGACATCTAATCCGAAGGTCAAGGGTTCGAATCCCACTTGAAATAGCCGAAATCCTGAGAATGTGATTCCCTTTTTTTACTTTACTATTTTATTAGAACAATTAAATTTAATTAATAAATAATTAGTAACAAACAAAAAATAGTCAACACCATAAATAGAAAGGAAAATGCAAAACTACAAGGATTATCGTTTTCTATATTGTCTCTTAATACTGGGATTTTGTCATGTGTATATACATATTTATATTAATTGTAACTATTTAATAAAAAGTAACTAAAATAAGATGTTTCTTTGTTGACCTAAGTAGGAATTGACTTAAATTTTTTTAGATATTAGTTGTGTGTTTATCTATCATATATACTTCTATTTATTTTAATATGTATTTTTAATTTTGAGACAAACAGTATTGATGCCGTTGGTTGAGTTCGAATAACAGCCAGAGATGGAGATAGAATATATGTTTATATTACAAGAAAATAAATATTTACAGTTAAAGTTTACACTAAAAGAGGTAGTAATGCGGTTAAATGAAAATTACACCTATGAAGGTGCTACGGATTGATGCGGACAAGACCTTGCGTCTGTCCGTTGCGTTTCCAGTTTACAGAATTGTCCCGGTACGGGGTTCAAAAGTTTCCGTTGGGGTAGGAAAGCGGGAAAGTATGGCGCACTCAGTTACAGTTAAGTGAGGAGTGTAGGAAACAAGTATAGAGCAGTACTATTGTTTTACTTCTATTAATTAAAATAATAAAAACATTGATTTGTATATATATATATCCTATATCTTGTATATACAATAAAAATCGTTTAACTTGAAACTGAAGGGAATAAAATATATTTTTCCTGTTAAAAGATATTGCAAAATAATAATAATAATAATAATAATAATAAATAAATAAATAAAAAAGCATTCACATACTCAACGAAATTAAGTTTAGATTAGAATATATTTTATTCACACAGATATGTATATATGTATATGTATTTAATAAAAATCAATGAAACAAAAACATTCAAAAGAATTAAATGAAATTTAATGCAAACATTTTAATTCTTTCGGAAAACAAAACATTTATTGAGTTTTTGGAAAATAACCTGATATTTTTGTTTGCATTGCCCTTTTTAGCATCAAATTGTCAACAAACTATTCGATGCCATCCATTTTGTTATTTATTTCACCATTTTAATGGGTGTCTAAGTAACTGAAAATACTTTTAATGATGTTCATTCCGGGTAATGTGGGAACATAATTCATTTCATTTTCGTCATCGGAATCTGCATCAGTGATATTTTTTGAACTTTGAACAAACTCCAAAATGTCTTTTTCTGCCATAATTGGGGATGTACACACATTATCACCATCTACCGTAACAAATTCTTTCAATGGTACAGTAGGACAATCCAATATAATGCAAAAACTTTCTTAGAAATTTCAATAAATGTCGGCTTAGATTCAGTATCCTCCTGGTGTTTTCAGTATTTCGTTTATTCCCAGAAGGGAAATCCGACTACATTCGGAACCGTGATTTAAAAAAAAGCACTTAAATGGATAATTTTCATGATATTTAGTGTTACTTAGATTAGAATACATGTATAAAATAGTTTTAAGGCCTTTATGACGGAAAAAATGTTTAAATACAATATTTAGGCAAAAAATTAACTTAGAATAATCTTTTTTCAAAACGTTTTCCTTTTATAAAAAATGCTTCTATAATAATAAAATTTTGCTTATATAAAGTAAAGACTTCTCCAGAGAGTCTGAACTAGGATTTCTGAAAAATTCACATTATTTTCAGAGTTACCACCAACTGAAATAATAATCAGCGTTTTTTTTCTTAAAATTTCCCCTCTGTAGTAGTAAAATATGAATAAATCCACTTCTAAGTTATATATTTCAAAAGTTCTAGTTTAGCCTCTGCAAAGAGGTCTGAGATATATACAGGTAAAATAAAGGGTGTTTTTTTTAGAGGTATAGAAATTTAAATTGCAATAAAACAGCGATGTATTATTCGATTGACATGAATTTTTTTTTATTCGAAAGATAATCTTGTGGCATTACATTTTAAATATGATTTCTGGCATATGACTGCCACGACTGGCTCGGAAGTAGTTCAATTTTCGATGACTTTTAACAACATTTGTGGCCGTGTATCGGCAATAACATGGCGAATGTTGTCTTCCAAATGGTCAAGCGTTTGTGGCTTATCCGCATAGACCAATGGCTTTACATAGCCCCACAAAAAATAGACTAGCGGTGTTAAATCACAAGATCTTGCAGGCCAATTCACAGGTCCAAAACGTGAAATTAGGCGGTCACCCAACGTGTCTTTCAATAAATCGATTGTGGCACGAGCTGTGTGACATGTTGCGCCGTCATGTTGGAACCACAGCTCCTGGACATCATGATTGTTCAATTCAGGAATGAAAAA